CGGATGATGATCATGATACCTTGAATATCATATTAGTCATATTAGTATAGCACATTCAAATGCCACATTATCATATTGTGTGACAGGAATTAATACAATGTATCATCTTATTCATATACCAGCAGTAGAAGCAAGAAATTGACACAATATTGTAGCAGCAAATAGAAATGAAACCATCATTGATTTTTCAAAGAGAGTGGGTTGAATCTCCTCCCAGTCCAGAGTGTTGTTTTAGTTAATGCACTGGCAGTCTGTCACAGAATAATCTGTCCTGGTAAAATTGTTCAGGTTAATAAATGCACAGTTAATACATTTAGCACAGGACACTTTTACACTGCATGCTGATATGTGCTATAAAGTGTGTGAGAGAGAGAAGAGATTAGGATCAACAGACAAAGGATGCCATTACTAATGGTCCAAGTGTTTAGTTCTTAAAGGAGAGAGAGAAGATGAAATTACATTTGATCTGGTACTTAATTCAATTTGGTGCCTGAGCTGATTCTATTATTGAGGTATGTTAATTTTCAAAATCCAACTACCTGTAGTAACCAATTAGTCTTTGAACTCATTATTATCTCATTCAGGTTCCAAGGTTATGAATGCTTCTCATGCACTTTGTCATTTTTACTTGGAAACAAACCCAATTGATGATGACATGTGACATTACTTGCATCAACAGTGTGGGACCAAGAGTTCATGGTGCAACTAAAAACAGTTACAAAATGAATGTTGTGATAGATTTGTACTATTCCATTTTACAAATAGATTTACAGCTTATACACTGCTGCAACTCAATTGCATTTCCCTGAACATGTCAATATGCCTATTGAATGGTTCATCAGTGTATAAATCATCTCAAAGCTTTCTTAAAGCTAGCCTGCAGTTTAGGCAAATAAAGTTGAAGACTATAAAAGAAGTGAATCAAGCTTATTCAACCACTCATCCTTCATTCAGAGTCTACAGAAATGAAGTTCCTTCAATTGCTAAGTATATCTCTTCTTGTTTGCTTCATACAAGCAGCAAGCGTGTCTCCTGCTAGTACAGATAATGTTACAGTGAGAACACCATCCAAAACCATCCCTGGATTCAAAAAACCAATTTATATCCAAATCGTTGGGAATGAAGTATTCCTGACAGAGTATGATGGAAAGGTTCAAGTCCTAGATGTACACACAGGAGCAAAGCTAAGGAACTTCTCCATTCCTTCTGGAAATCCACACGGTCTTTTTGTGAAAGGAAACAGAGTACTTGTCACCAACCATTATCAAAATACATACAGTTTCACACTCAGTGGAGAGCTGTATGGCGTACACTATTCTCCTAAGACAGTTGCAGTTGCATTAGATTACAATGGGTTGATGTACATCAGCGAATGGACCACTTGTAAGATCAACGTATACAATGTTGATGGTACCAAATCCCACACTCTGAGTCTTGGAAACTCATGCTACCCAAGAAAGATCCAGTTTGACAAACAAGGTAATCTCTACGTTGGCAAACACTTTGGCAGGGGAGTTTCCGTTTATGATAGAAAAGGCAGTCTCATACGAAAAATCGCTCTACCAACTGTTTCTTATATGGATGGAATTCATCTCAACCCTCTTGATGAGGATTTTCTCTATGTCGCTGATCGCTCTGGAAAGGCCTTGAAAGTTGAAATAGCTACTGGGAAAGTGGTTGAAAAATTTACTGGAGTATCTGCAGCTATTGACATCGCTATTGGTCCAGATGGTAAAGTTTGGGTAGTGGATATTAATGGAAACTCCATTAAGATTTACTAAAACAAAAACTCTTCCTTTGCTATAGAATTTTTTTGATATTATTGTAGTGTTTTTGCTAATCTTCCTGCTAATTTTTTTGTTTTTTTTTTGCTAAATAGAATTCCTTGTTCTTACTATTTTTGTTTATTAGCTAATAAAATAAATAACTTGATTACCAGTATTGTGCGCAGCTGCAAAATTTCAGATTGCAAGATATTTCACTCAAGTAGTACAATTGCATACATTACATCAAAATTACTAAATTGCTTCCCTTAGCACCTGTAATTTACATAAAGTGCAACCTTTTGCTACTATTTCAATAGATGTTGATAGGTTTGAATAGTTATCACTTATCAGTGTAGAGTATAAATCAACTTGGGGCTCTCCTTAAAGCTTAGCCTGCAGTTAGACTCTATACCTATTGAATATGAGTTATCAGTGTAGGCAAGGTATAGATCTAAACCAACTTGAGGCTTCCTTAAAGCTTTGCCTGCAGTTTTTAGACTCTGTACCCATTGAATAGTTATCACTTATCAGTGTAGAGTATAAATCAACTTGAGGCTTCCTTTAAGTTTAGCCTATACAGTTTAGCGATTTAAGTTGAAAAACTATAAAAGAAAGCAATCTGTTTCCCATCTCTACAAAGTAACCATTCGGAGTCTACAGAAATGAAGTTCCTTCAATTGCTAAGCATATTTCTCCTTGTCTGCTTCATACAAGCAGCAAGCGCTGCAGCCAAAACAGATCATGTTATAGTGAGAACACCATCCAAAACCATCACTGGATTCAAAAGACCAACTAGTATCCAAATTGTTGGGAATGAAGTATTCCTGACAGATACTGGTAATTCTACAATTAAAGTCCTTGATGTACACACAGGAGCAGAGCTAAGAAACTTTTCCCTTCCTTCTGGAAGCCCACACGGTCTTTTTGTAAAAGGAAACAGACTACTTGTCACCGATCACAATGAAAAAACATACAGTTTCACACTCAGTGGAGAACTGTATGCTGTACACTATTCCCCCAATACACATTCAGTTTCAGTGGCAATAGATTACAATGGGCTGATGTACATCAACGAATGGTTCACTTGTAAGATCAACGTATTCAATGTCGATGGCACCAAATCCCACACTCTGAGAGTTGGAAGCTCATGCTATGCAAGAAAGGTTCAGTTTGACAAGCAAGGCAATCTCTATGTCGGTAAGCATTACAAAAGGGGAGTTTCTGTTTACGACAGAAAGGGCAGCCTGATACGAACAATCTCTCTACCAACT